TGAGGGGTCTAGGGTTTAGAGGTGAGAGTTGGGGTTTAGAGGCAAGGGTTTAGGGTTTAGCGTTTACAGTCGAGGGTCTACGGTTTAGAGACAAGGGCTGCAACGGTTTAGAGTTTAGGGTTTGGAGGCAAGGGCTGCGGTTTAATGGCGAGGGTTTAGGGTTCAGGGTTTAGGGTTTAGGGTTTGGAGGCGAATGGGAAACTGCCGCCGGCAGCGGGAAAAAGAGCGCAAGCTCTTCCGCTCTGCCCACGCAGGGCCTAGGGTTTAGGGTTTAGGGTTTAGGGTTTACAGTTTGAGTTAGGGTTTTGTTGTAGTCTTCTAAACACTCTTGACTTCTAAACCCTTCTTCGCTGCCAAACTTCAAAGCCAAAAAAACATAACCCCCGGAGCAGCCCTGGTTGTACACATTGCATGCAGTGCCCTGAAAACAAACAAACAAATAAATAAATAAATAAATAAATAAATGGATGAATAAATAAATAAATAAATAAATAAATAAATAAAACAGTAATGCAGCGGCAGCGGCGAAGTTACTGCAGCGCCGAGGGGTGTACAGACACCTGGGGCACTGCAGCAGCTTGCTGCAGCAGCTTGCTGCAGCAACACTTTGCTGCTGCCGGCAGCTAGCTGTGAAGGAGTTCAGGCTGCTGCATCTAGCTGTGGTTAGCTAGCTGTGGCTAGCTAGCTGCGGCTAGCTAGCTGTGGCAACATCACTGAGGTTAGCTAGCTGCGGCTTTCTGTAGCTAGCTGTCGCTAGCTGTAGCTAGCTGTAGCTAGCTGCAGCGAACTGTAGCTGGCTACAGCTAGCTATGGCTTGCTGTAGCTACAGTAGCCGTGACTAGCTGTAGCTAGTTGTAGCTAGCTGTAGCTAGCTGTGGCTAGCTGCATCTAGCTATGGCTAGCTGCACCTAGCTATGGCTAGCTGCATCTAGCTATGGCTAGCTGCAGCTAGCTGTGGCTAGCTAGCTGCAGCTTGCTGTAGCTAGCTGTAGCTAGCTGTGGCTAGCTAGCTGCAGCTTGCTGTAGCTAGCTGCTGGTTAGGCAGCTAGGTAGCTAGCTGTAGCTAGCTGTAGCTAGCTGCAGCTAGCTGTAGCTAGCTGTAGCTAGCTGTTGCTTACTTGAAGGGCGTTGACGTGGACCTTTCCAAAGATGTCATCATGTTGGGCGTAGCGAATCCAAAGTCTGAAAAACAAACATACAAAAGATCCTGCTGCTGCTGCTGCTGCTGCTGCTGTCGCTGCTGCTGCTGAAGTTTCTACTGCTGCTGGAGCTGCTGCAGTAGCTGCTGCTGTTGCTGAAGTTTCTACTGCTGCTGGAGCTGCTGCAGGAGCTGCTGCTGCTGCTGGCGTGTGCTGTTACTTAAGCTACTACTAGTGCTGCTGCTGCCGCCTCTGCTGCTGCTGCTGCTGCTGCTGCTGCGCTGGTTTTTTCTGCAGCTACAGCAACGCTGCGCCTCCGCCGTTTTCTCCATTAAATACAAATTAATTAAATAAATTATTTATTATTTATTTATCTATTTATTTATTTTACCTTGAAGTCAAAACAGTGCTGCTTGTTATGGCATAACAAGAGCCGCAGTCGCCCTGATTTGGAGCCGAGGGAACTGCGCTTTGCCTCCGCCCCAGCTGCAGCAAACCCTAAACCCTAAACCCTAAACCCTAAACCCCAAACCCTGAACACTAAACCCCAAACTCTAAACCCTCAACCCTAAACCCTAAACCCTCAACCCTAAACCCCCTAGGGTTCAGAATGAACCCTAAACCCTCAACCCTAAACCACAAACCCTAAGCCGTCAAACCTAAACCCTAAACTCTAAACCCTAAACCCTAAACCCTAAAGTGTCACAGCGGCCCTGGCGGTTGTTTGACTGCAGCAGCCGCTGACCATACAGCTATAAATATAAAATAAAAATAATTACAAACTTAATATAATTATAATCGCGAAATAGATATAATAATAACTAAAAGTACAAATATAACAATAAATTAAAATATGAATATTAAATATAAATATAAATATAAATACAAAGGCAGTAGCGCGTGGGGCGGATATGAAATGACGCAACTAAATATAAATCATGAAGATTGAAAATGATGAAATAAATTAAATAAGATTAAAATTCTAATTAATTAATTAGTTAGATGAACTAATAAATAAATAATAAATAATAAATAAATTATAAATAAAAGAGTAAATAAATAAATAAATAAAGAAATAAATAGACCCTCATGGTCACAAGGTCCTTTAAAAGAAAATTTAAAAACCAAAAAAGATTTTTAATTCCAAAGAAAAAAAAGAATATTTCAACTTCAAACAATTAAATTAAAATCTCTTTCATTTTAAACAATTAAAATTTAAAAAGAAACTTTTAAATATTCTTACTCGCATAAAAACATGATCTGGATTTGTCCAATCAAAGTCTGAAATATATTTCCAAGGGGCCTCTTGTTCTTCTGAAGTGCCTCTGGGGGGCCCCCCGGGGGGCCCCCCTGGGGCGCCTCTCAGGGGGCCCCCCAGGGGGGCCCCCAGGGGGCCCCCCAAGGGGGGCCCCCCCGGGAGACCCCCGGGGGGCGCAAAAGAG